GAAAGTTGACATTTTTACAGATTATGTATTTCTGTGGCTGCTATAACAACAAATAGTAAAACACCTAAAATATATAATATAAGCAGCGGGGCCAACATATTTATAGATAATGGTACGGGACCCTTCGTGAGCGAGTCCGACTCGCACTTGGCTGTTTTTTTGTTTTGAAGTAGTTATTAATTGAATATATTTGGGTAACTGGCTCTAGAATTGTTCAATTTTTTTCTGACTTATAGGAAATTAGTTTTAAAAAGAAACGAATTATAAATGTATAAAAAAATTACAACTACATATGCGAACTAACTAAATAGACTCAACAACTACAACTTCTTAGTGTCAGGAAACATTCATTAAATAGGTAATGAAAACATCCGTACTAATAACGACGAGCACGACGGCCGGTGAAACAGGCAATTTTTACAGCCGGATATTTTTACCCCCAGTAAAAAAATAATCTAGTATATTTTTACCGGAGGTAAAATAAACCTAGGATATTTATACCCCCGGGAAAATTTTATGGGGGGTAAAATGATCGAACTTCAAAACTAATACAGATAGTTTAAACCGTCATTAAGTAACACTTTTGGCAAAAAAAAATTTCAAATATTTTAATTATACTGATTGAACGATTTGAAAACTGTTTTTAAACGACGTTTCTGTTATTTGGATTATTAGGTAGAAATAGCTAATTCTTTCTTTTGCAAATGGGCTCAACTGTATATTTAAAAAGCGGTCGTAACGTTGATACAAAAAAAATTCGGAAATATGTTACTTTTTACTTACATAGGTGTGGGCGACATACCTGTTGAAGGCTTTTTTACTACAAATTTAACTTATTATATTTTTTGATTGAAGGATTTAAGATCGAACTTCAAAACTAATACAGATAGTTTAAACTGTCATTGAGTAACACTTTTGGCAAAAAAAATTTCAAATATTTTAATTATACTGATTGAACGATTTGAAAACTGTTTTTAACGACGTTTCTGTTATTTGGATTATTAGGTAGAAATAGCTAATTTTTTCTTTTGCAAATGGGCTCAACTGTATATTTAAAGAGCGGTCGTAACGTTGATACAAAAAAAATTCGGAAATATGTTACTTTTTACTTACATAGGTGTGGGCGACATACCTGTTGAAGGATTTTTTATTACAAATGTAACTTATTATATTTATTGATTGAAGGATTTAAGATCGAACTTCAAAACTAATACAGATAGTTTAAACCGTCATTGAGTAACACTTTTGGCAAAAAAAAAATTCAAATATTTTAATTATACTGATTGAACGGGTTGTAAACTGTTTTCAAACAACGTTTCTGTTTCTTAGTTTAATAGGTAAAAGGTGCTTATTTTTTCTTTTGTAAATGGGTGCAACTGTACATTTAAAGAGCGGTCGTAACATTGATACAAAAAAAATTCGGAAAAATGTTACTTTTTACTTATATAGGTGTGGGCGACATACCTGTTGAAGGCTTTTTTACTACAAATTTAACTTATTATATTTATTGATTGAAGGATTTAAGATCGAACTTCAAAACTAATACAGATAGTTTAAACCGTCATTGAGTAACACTTTTGGCAAAAAAAAATTTCAAATATTTTAATTATACTGATTGAACGGGTTGTAAACTGTTTTCAAACGACGTTTCTGTTTCTTAGATTATAAGGTATCAATAAAACATTATGCAAATATGCCTTTTATGATAAAAAAAATTACTTACCAGCTGCATTCCCGATTTTGGATTCCCATGGTCTAAACATTATGGTATTATTGTTATTTAAAACAAACGTGTAAAATGTATGATATAAATATAAATATACACAACAGTTGAATACAAGCACGTCTTATTATAACGAATGAATAAAAAAATTCGATTGATATTAATATTATTGTTACGGATGTCCTGTTGGGGCCATGTACTATTTATACAATAATTATATATATAATCTGGTTTGAGGGCATGACAGATCGTTTCGTTAAATACTGAAATTTTGAAGCAAAACAATAGTAGGTATATTAGTTATCTACTATAAAAATTCTATGGGAGATAAATATATTCTAGTATATTTTAAACAGATCGTTAATTATATGCTAGGATATTTTTACCCCTCTGTCGAATAATCTTACCGGGAGGGTAATAATATCCCAGTATATTTTTACCCCCCTGCCCATTAATTTTTCCTTTGGGTTAATAATATCCTATTATATTTTTACCCCCCTGTCGATTAATTTTACAGGGGGTATAATAATATCCTAGTATATTTTTACCGAGTGATAAAATTAACCTAGGATAATTTTACCCCCCATAAAATTTTACCCTAGGTTTATTTTACCCCCGGTAAAAATATCCTAGTTTTATTTTACCCCCGGTAAAAATATACTAGGTTAATTTTACCCCTTTAAAGTTATCCTAGGATAATTTTACCCCTCCCCCCCCGGTAAAAATATTTGAGGGTATTAGAAACCTGTGACACCGGCGTACTACTAACTACTCGCTAGTCGAGTGCTGGCTCATTAGTTGATTGCCAAGGCTCAGTGCAGCCAACACATATAAATTATAAAGATTAATATATTAAGTATAATATGGTAATATTATTTTGTACATAATTTTATTATTTAAAAATTGCTTCTACGTTTCTTATAGTATTCACTTGATGGATGTAGAAATCAATATGAAATATTATTTTTGAAATACGAATTTCAAATTAGCACATTCATAATTATGTACCTATTTTAAAATATCTAAGCTTAGAACATTTTTAGTTCAATAATTACATAATATATTTGTAATATTTCTTCCTCTAGTAGTAGATATAGTGATCAAAACAAATTGTATTTTATTTTATTTATTTTTATTTATTTTGTCATAACAAAGACATTATTCAGCACTTATAACAAACATAAATATAAAAACTCATTTGCCGTTTTTGGTAAGACGTCATTGGTTTATTGTGACGTAACCTCATTTCATACAAATATAATATAATACAAAGATTAAATAATAATAGGTATTTAATATTTATTTTTGCGACCTCGATGTTCAGTATAGGTACTAAAATTAATTTCAGAACTGACTATTGATGGTTTTTTAAGGTAGGTATTAAATTATTTAACTTGTGTAATTTCAACTAGGTAACTACTTGTTAAAATAAATTATAAATTAATTTCACTAGTTATAATTGCTTCATTATCGGTGAGGTAACGTTATTTAATAGTTATATATATATCATTATGCTTTTATATTGGAATAAATTGAACTTTAAAGATTCCAAAACTCTTTTATTTTTATTTTTATTAATTCCGTAGTGTAGTAAGTTTTTATATTATGAATAATTATAACACTGAGTATAAATAGATGATAAATAAGATAGGCTGTAATTGTATTAGTTATTTATAGAATATGTCACATAGCCAATAAAATAATTATTATTTTCCCTGTATATGGGATCTAAATAGTTTGTTTGTGGTTAGAATAGGTTAATGTTAGTTTGATCATATTTATGTACTTTACCTCGGTTAAGCGATTATCAAAAGTTTGTAAGATATATGATCGAGTTAGGTGAGTTATTTAATATGAATACGTATGTCGAAGGGAAAATGTTGTATGGATATGCTTTGTTTCGTTAACTTTGTATTTTGACATTCCAATTTGAATACTAATAAGTAGGTAAAAACGGTTAGAAGATTTAGATTACTTTGAGATGGTAAGTTCTCTGGTTAGCTGTGATTTATATGTGAAGTATAAGTTACTTTGTTCGATTATAATTTATATTATGTATATTGGTGTATGGGTTGGTCTGCTGAGTCACCTGCCTGTGTATATTGAATAATATTTTGAAAAGCAATAAGTAGCGGTCCTCCATATTATATCCAATTATCCAAATAATAAAGACATTATTATTATTACACATCAATTCAATACATTTGCTATACAACAATCGAAAAACCTATAGGTAATTAATTTAAAGTTAGAGAAATTTACCTAAATTAACTAAAAATGTATTAATACGATTACTGGGTTGATATTATCATAAAGGGTTAAATTGGGAAACAATTAATATATTTTAAAATAAAAAATAATATAAGATTATTAAAAGATTATGAATTCCATTTAATTTCTATTAAAATTGAATAAACTTCGTACCTCATTTATTATTATTTGTTGATATTTTGTGTTGAATATCAATTTATCACAATAATTTTGTACGTATTTACAGTAGAAACCGATAAGATTTTGCGAAACAACGCGTTATCAAAGATATGTTTAAAATAATATAGGTATTGGAAACTAGAAAGTACCTACATATTATGTCATCACGCAACTATAACTACGATGGAGAACGTTGAACGATCGTTTTATTTTCAAGTATTTGAAAATTTTTTAATCCAAATTGTTTACGTTTTTCCTAAAATTATTTGTCAAAACATAAGATTTTACCTTTTTTTTAAACACCTGATATACTTTGTTGATGGAAACATACTAATGCTAAATAATTAATTGTCAATTAATTTAGTTTATTTAATATTATAAAATGTCTTTTTTGATTTTTACATTAAGTGCTTTTTTTAACTATTCACAATCCAAGCCAAAGTTATAAAATAATGTTGTATTATACAACAGTTTACATTGAATAAAATATGGTCAAAAAATATTTTTCAGTTGTATTGAATATTGAATTGTGAGACTTTAAGTCCAAATATAAGATGCATATAACAACTTAGAATTACTTTGAAAATGTCATTAATAGAAATTAGTTGTGTCGTGAATCATCATTATAATATCAAAAACATATTATATTATATTACATTATAATATATTTAGGTACTACGTATAAATAACATAAATTAATTTAATACGATAACTAAACAGTACTTTTTAGTGTTTATAATCAAACAAATATTAAATAAGAAGTAACAAATATAATATACATATATGATTTGTTGTTTCAAAATTCCACCCTTCATTAGACTGTAACTTTAAACTTCCAGTGATAATTTCAAATCTTTATTTTTTTCACATCTAACTGATGTTGATCATTTATAAAAAATATGTCAAACTCATAGTCTTTTTCCTTTTGAATCACATCTTCTATGCGATCCTTCAATGAGCAGTCATCTAATAATTTCGAGCATTGATCAGTTACAGACATAACATCTTGTTCATTTCTTATTGCCAAAGAACAATCATCAGTATTGTATTTTGATTTTTTCTGCAGAATATTTTATACGTTAAACAAATTATTTTGTCAATATATTTTTTTTATTTTTTAATAAATTACAATTTTTACCCTTTAAGTTGTTCCTCTATCGTTATCTGATTTTTATTTCTCCAAAAGAATACTAAGCTCCACGCCTCCAATGACACTCTCTAGTCTATTGTATTAAATTGCAATACCATATATAATATATACATAATATATGTCCTACAGGCGTTTGATCAGGCGTTGCATAAAAACCTTTTTAAAATTAAAAATCTCAATCCTCCTGTTTTTTTGTCGTCTTTTAAACTTAGATCCTACCTCAATGACTGTAAATTATCTGTCCAATATTGCTTCTGCCTCTCAGCCTCTTCTATAACACTAGCCAGATTTTCTCAAGGCCTAATAATAACTCTTCTCCTATTCAACATTTGTATAGCTGATCAACACACTTATCCTTAATATTTTCTTGGGGCTGAGTATGCTGACGATAAAGCAATTATCTCAGTTCATAAAAAAACAATAACCAGATGTAATCACCTTCAATCACATATTTATTGTATTGAAATTTAGTGTCAAAACTGGAATGTAAAGAATAACGAAAACAAATCGAGCACGTATAATTGTTTCTCTCGAACACAACATTTATTTCTCTCAACATTTCAATTCCAACATTACGAACTACAAAGTACTCCTCGGTATCCTCTTCGATAAAAAAAGACCTGGCACACCTTCTCCACAACAAAAGACTTAAAACTAAATTATCATTTTGGAAACTTATATTATATTATAAGTATATCTGAAACTTACAATCAAAACTTTCACTTCACACTAAACTAAACCTTCACAAAATTTTACTGAATCCAATAGCAGGGTCCAAATTTCGGAATTTAAAAATTAAATAACAATTAGTATGAATAACTCAAACCAGACTAATTGTCGGTTCCATAACAAAGGTTTCTCTCTCTTATACGACTCATATAAAACACTTCATACAAGTCTAAAAATAAATCCTGCAGTATTAGAAATTGCTGTTAGCCATTAGGTCTTACACATGTTACCACAGCACACTCTCTGATCATCAAATATTCTAAAAAATATTTAGCTAAATCAATGCTCCGCATCCCTCAAAAGTCACAAAGCTACACTTAATTCTAACCTTTCAAAAATACAAACATTGTATAGATTGTTTTATTCCAATACAAATATTATACAATAGCATTGTTGAATTCTATTAATAGGTAATTAAAAAAATCTTCAATAAATTTCACATTGTATGTCGGATACCTAATCTTATTATATTGTATAATACTATAATATACTCAATTTGTATATATAATAAGTATTATAATTTAATTCATAAGTTGCAATAAGTAATTACTATTTACCAAATAACAATCATTTTCCTTCGTTATAATTGTCTTCTGTGGTCTATCTTGTCTTGCCTCTGCCAATGTACTAAATGGTACTATCTAAAGTAAATGCAAATAGTATATAAAAAGGTGCTCTGCTGTACAGTAGGTTACAAGTGGGTCACTGTATAATGAATTGTATTAAATTTGAATTCAACAACATAATATCATTGTATAAGAAAAATGATTCTGAGTGGAGACGGTATGTCAGTCTAGGTATAAGACATATTATATACTTATCTATGGTAATAAAAAAAATTGACCTATAATGAATTCCAAAATAATCATATCACAATATCCATTTGGTTACTTATAACGAGTTATACATCAACAATAAACCGCGATACTATCATAGATATATAATAGTACACTTTAGATGTTTCAAGTACCCATGAATAATATTATACAATCACAACAAAATAAGTAAAACAGTTATTCTAGGTTTTTTTATTATGTAATTTCGTCCAAATTTGAACTTAAAGTGACTATAAAAATAAACTGTGCATATTTATTTTTTAGATATTTTGGTAACAGAATTAACTACTTATGTTGAATCTTGTTTTAAAATTTCAATCCTTAGATATAAAAGTTGAATATATTATAATTTATTAATTACAATGATTGATAGTTTTCGAGATTTTGATAAATTTTGTCAAAATTCGATCTTTAAATGCCAATAAAAAAAAGATTGTGAATATGTATTTTGAATATTTTTCAACTGATATTGTAACAATATATCAGGAGCCTTGTATTACATTTTTACACTTTTTTGCAAAACAGATAAAACTTTATTTATATTTATAGAAAAAAAAAACTGAAAAAATTGAAAACTGTAAATGTCCGTAAACAGCTCAAAAAGAGTCAAAATATTTTCAAAATTGTAAGGTGTATATAGGAAATGGCTTAATATAAATATGCAATGAAATTGTCATGTATCTACAGTCATTCATTTTTGAATTACAACAAAATAAGGAAATCGCTACACGAGAATCGAGTGAATATCCAATGTTGTAAAAATTTGAATTTCAAACGCTCATAAAAATTTAATTTGACTTTCTTATAGACATTTTTTTTTTTTTGATAAAGGTAAAAAATCTCATAAGGAATCTTGTATTACATCTTAAAACCTTAGATTTAAAAAGAAAAATATTTACGAATTCTTAACTTAAAATAATTTTCTAATTTTCATGATTTTTCCATATTTTGTCAATTTTTTAACTTTAAGTGCTTATAAAAAAAACTGTGACTAATAGGATTTTTAATATTTTTCACCTGCCTTTGAAACAATATACTAGGAGCCTTCTATTAAATTTTCAAGCTGTTTTTAACCAACAAATAATATTTTATTGATAGTTTTAGAAAAAAAACTAAAAAAAATGGAAAATGAAAATGTTCCTAAACAGTTCAAAACAAATCATAATATTTTGAAAATGTTATCGTGTAAAGAAAATTCAAATATAAACAACCGGTGAAAATTGCATGTACGAGTATATACATTCATTTGTTTTAGAGTTACACTAAAAACCAAAATCAAAACAGATTTTGTGTAAAAATTCCCTTCTTTTGTTTTCCACGGAGCTTATAAGAACTACTAGAAAAATTTTACTTTGAACAACCCAATGTACCAACTAGATTCACTTTATTATCAGAAAAGATACTGTTGAAGAAAATCCAAGCATTTTTACTGTCCTAAAAGGTGATGACAGACACAAAAAAAAAAAAATTAAAAAAACACACATCAATGTAAAATACATTCATCGTTCCACTTAGAATCTAAAATGAAAAATAAAATAAATTCTATAATATCAAATTTAATGATTGTTTGTAAAATGTAATACAACAATTATACTGAGTAATAACTTATAGTTTTTATAATATTTCATAATGTCGTAAATAATTTAAAAATACCTACCTACTTATAAGTTTAAAATACTTTCTTACTTCTTTTGATGATCCATTGAATGTTATGTTAATGATAGTATAAGTTTTGTTTGTTTCCAATGAATTGTGATTCAAATTATCCGGGGTCTCGTCATACTTAGTTGATGTTCTCGACGAAGTATCTATATCTATATTATTACTGTAAGCTAAAGAACACATCAAAGAAAAATATCTACTACCAAAAGTGTTTCCAAATTAAGGATATATATTATATATTTATATCAATTAATATTGTGACCAGACAAACTCACCGAATGATTTCATTCAATTACTTTTTGCCTATATGTTATATTTTATGAAAGAATATAGTATGGTATCACGAAAATGCAACTTAACTCACTATTGTTAATCTTGGAAATATTTGAATTTCTTGGTATCCATACAAGTTGACTTGAACTGCGCTCTGCATTTATCATCACCTCACAGTCTTTCCTAAATATTATGTATACATGAAAATGTAAGTTAATGAATGTTATAAAATAATGGTGTATAATTTTGAAAAGTATTTTACCTATTTCAACGCCAGAAATAATTATTATAACTATTTACTATTATACCTAATTCCAACTACCTTATTAGATTTAATTTTTGGATTGTGTTAAAATTATTATTCAGTATATTATATTATATTAAATATTTACAATAGCCAATATATATGCCTACTTGGCTATCTATACTAAATTAACCTTTTTTATATAATCTCACAATCATAAGTGCACATCTAATATGTATACTTTAGCTTTTAAATGAAATATTATATTATATTATAATATAACGAAATTTAATTTAACTAAAACCAATTAAGTCCTAAAATGCAATTAATATTATCGTCAGTATATAAGACTGGACTGAAACAAATCTCAGACTTTCTAACTATCTTTCTGACTTAAACCCCCTTCAGTGCGAAACTGATTTTCACACTACAACATGTCACTTTCACAGTTCCACAACAATTTGGCTTTTCTTATTAGTTTTTATTCTTAGTTATAAAAATTGGAGAAAGTATCAAACAAACCTATAAATCAAAAAATTATAGTTTACTTCATTAATCAAGTTTTAAAAATGTGTTCCATGGTTTCCCAAAATATAATATTTTCCGACATAATATACACAAAAAAGTACTTTCTTATAGTACTCTATAGTGTCTATGATTTTCAGCATATCCAATGGCCGTGACATAATCTAACGAACGTTTGCCTATTATTATAGTCTGTTCTTATATAATAAACATATAGATATGTCTGGATAGTGGGTATAATACAATGCATGATCACATATTTTATATTATAATAGCACATAAAAGTACGAAACTGTTATGATATTATGCATATCTACTTTGTGTTTATAAATGCTCTATGACATCAACTTTAATTAAACTTGAATAAACTAAATTTTGTAAGTATTTAAAAAAATGTACAATTTTATTCAAATTGTAACTTTATATAGATACCTATGTATAACAAATTGTATTATATTACCTTTGAGACGAATTGAATCCTTTATTATTCTCTTTTCGTAATTTCCATTTATTGTAAGACATTTTAATATTTATTTTTTTATTCAATTTATTACACAGCATAATATATTTATCTAAAACTATTACCAATGTTGAATTTAATAAACAACAAATTATTATTTGTATACAAGATGTTACCATAGAAATGCATTCAGATCTAGAATAACTGAATTATATTTTGAAGGTTGTTGTAAAATTAAGGTAAAATTCGAGTGCAAAACTGAAAACTTACTATTGTTTATTATAAAGTTATAATATTGTTTATTTCTAGTTAAAAAAAAAATCAACTTAATAGAAAATATAAATCGTACCTATATAATATTATATTTTATAAAATAAGATTTGTATTTGATAATGATACAAATAATACAATAATGTTTAATATAATCATATTATCAGTAGAGGTATCACATATTATTATGTGTTTAAAAGTGCTAAATATTAAAACGTCACTAATAATTCGAGTACCTACATTACATTGTCTACATTAGGTGAACTCAAAGTGGGTGTGTTAAATATATTTAGTTAAATTTATAAGTGATGAGGCATATTTATGGTAGACTACTCTAAACTGAAATTTATCCACTGCATAGGTACCTAGTAGAGTGGTACATTTTAAAATGAAGTTCTATTTCACACGCAAAAAAAATATTTTGAGCACTTATAAAAAATAGGAAACTTATCAATTGATAAATAACTACTAATTTTTAATTATACTTATTAAGTACCTACTGTTGAACTCAATATTGTGAAATAATAGAGCTTAATATGATATATTAATTGTATGGTTTTTTGTATTTACCGTATATTGTATAGAACTGATAAAAAGTGAGAGAGTGTGTGAGCCCACCATTACACTCTGGGGAAGTAAAACTTCTTTCATAAGTAATTGGGCCGGTGAAATTATAAGTGAACTAGGGAGAGAGTGAGAAAAATCAATACAATAAAAAATATGTAATTTAAGATAGACATGTTTGTTTATCAATGGTTGCTATGCACATATAAAAATAAATAAACAAACGTTTACAACCTAAGAAATGCGCAGTACATAGGTGTGTAAACATTTTTTAAGCAACCCCTCCCCACAGAAAAAAAAATTCTTAAAAAGAAAATTCATATAGGAATTCAATCCTACATTTACGTCGTTCAGTTGACTAAAAGCATCAATTATTGTAGTTTGTTATAACATTAAACTTGTAATATTTAAATATAGCTGCAGTATTAGGTACCTATAATACCTAAGAGTTAAAATTATTTAATGTGTATACAATACAAATTAGTCAAGTGCCACAAAGTAATAGTGATTTAAGGAGAGTATAATACCTACCTAATAGTATCAATAAAATATATCGATATCTATTAAACAGAATATTGTTTTTCTAAATAATAAACAATAATAATAAAATACACGTAGACGTAGGTACTTATTATTTTTAAAGGTACGTCAAAAAGTATTCATGCTCGGATATTATAATAATGTTATACCACGGCGGTTCCTCAGTGTTGGTTACGTAAACTTATTATCATTTAGATAGTTGGATAGTGTGTATAACATCACCTATATTTACATAAATTAAAGTTGTATTAAACCGTGTTGATCGGACACTGCACGTCTCATGTAGTCATGTATTATTATTATAATATGTACAGGTATTATAGGCATAATTTATTATTCTTTAACTATTATAACACAAGGTACCCACGAACAATACTTTTTGTTATTGCCTATAAATAGCCCCTCCGTTAAACCACCGAAGTCTTAAGTATGCCCTTAAACTTCAAAGTATTCATAATATATTATATTATTGAGTGCCCACCACGATGTCGATATTATAAAAACCGTCATCGACTTACAACATTATAAGCGTCAACTGTAACAAAGTAGTAGGAATCTGCTTCGAAATGATCTGAAATCAAACTCAAAAAAATCATTAGCCATTTTTAACGGAGCCCACAACAAACTAGGAAGTACTCAAATAGTTTTTTTTTATTCGAAATACAATAGTAATTTCCTACGAACAACTGCCGCTAGCCCGTCAAAATATGTGTTAATAAATAATCTTCGTTTGAGGTCCTCGCGAAAACACGTACATACCTATTAATTATCGGGTGCGCGTACGAAAGTATCACCGAGTAGTCGTCGCCTCGCGACACCTCCCCAAGAACCGCCATTCAAGGTCGCCGCCGGTGTGGCTGTCGTCGGCGATCGGTCTGCATCGGCGTCGCCTCGGGCCGTCGCCTCCGCCTCCGTCGCCGCCACCGACCTGGCGCGCGCGCGCGCGCGCTCTCGCGCCGTCTCCTTGTCCGATTTCGCAAAACACCGCCGCCGTTGAAACTGGTTCGCCGCCGCCGCCGCCGTCACCATAGAACACGCGCGCGCATTCAGACCATTCAGTACCGCCGATACACCGGTTCCGCGCGCATATGCGTCATTTTTCCGACCGTTTTCCGTCGACGCACGCGAGTCCCCCCCGGTTCTTGTATATCTCCCAATTGTGATTGAATGTTTATAATATAGGCTAAGAGGAGCGTCTGTGCGTTTGTGCGATTTGTGTTTGACCCCCCCCCCCCCTGCCCCCTATTGCACGATTGAAAAATGACGCAAGGAGAGTGATAAAAAAATTAAAACAAACGGATAATCTCGCAAGCGAGCGTTCGTTTTTCGATTTCCAGTTCGATGGTCGCGACATAAGCTGACGCTGAGCGCTTTTCACCTTCGCGACGTATAACAATAATATAACAACTGATTTCGTTACACGCTGTCCGTTTCATCTGACGCCGCCCTCACACGTGCGCGTCTCGTAACACTCGACCGGCAGCTGCGGCGGTAAAGGAGAAAGTGCGCGGCGGTCGTATATGTGTGCCGGCGGCCACGGCGGTCGGCTACGGCGGCGGCGGTCGGACCGATGTCCCGAGTCTTAGTCCCGCGACGTCGTACCTGCAGCGGCGGCAGCAGCAGCACCAGCAGCGGCGCCGGTGGTGGTGGTGTTGGTGGTGGCGGTGGTGGTCTTGGTCGCGGTCGTCGTCGTCGTCGTCGTCGTCGCCGTCGCGCGAACGGCGGCGGCGGCGGTGGTGTTGGTCGCGGCCGAGGCGCACCGGGATCGGCGAGGACTCATGGCGGACGAGTGTCTGCGGAGCCGCGGTAGGCGCACCGGCGCGGGGGCTGTGGCGGCCGTGTACAGCGGAGATCAGCGACAGGCGACACCGCCGTTTCCGTCCGTGTGCCGTCTGGTCGAGAAGTACACGTTGCTCATCGAACGGCACCGGCAGAACCAGCAGAACGGGTTGACGGCGCCTGTCCGTGGTGGCAAATCCTCGAAGCCGGCGTCGTCCAAGTCAGCGGTACCGTCAGGCCCGGCTATCGGTGACGACGACGCCGCCGCCTGGAACCGTTTGCTGATGGACAACGGCGGAGGTGAAAACGAAAACGACGACGATGTCAACGGCAACGGTGATGACGGCTACGACGACGATGATGACGACGGCGGAGGTTGTGACCGTCGGTTCAGTTGCGTGTCGTTGGGCAGCATCCAAGCCGGTACGTGCACGCGCGATTTCTGCAACCGCCGCCGTCGCAGCTGCTGCCGTCTCGCAGTGACCGCGGCGGCGGTGGCGATGGTGGTGGGACGGGGAGGGGATAAGTTGCCGGTTACCACGTGCTCCCGGCTATCGGCGCTCACGCGCGCGCGCGCTTGTATTACGCAACGACGGCCCATGTGTCTCGGACGACGAACGTTTCATTTTCTTCCACTTTCCGTTTCATCGATTTCTGTCCGGAACCGCATCGCTCATGATGTTTTTTACTCTGTTAGGTACTATTATTATACTTTACACACTTGGCCGGAAATGCTGTGGAATCGATCGTCGTCCACGATGGGATCGCACTAAGTATTTATCAACCATTTTTCCGTACACGTCATCCTCCGTAATATGGACGTCACGCTGCAGATATTGACGGACGTTCGAAATCTGTCGTCACTGCGACGACAACACTCTCGCTCATCGATAGATTTTAATATTATTTACTTTATGATTATACGAGTATCCAACACTATTTTACTATATGCAGCTGTTCAGCTGTTGATGTGTGGTGGAATTTTTTTTAATAAGCTCAATTTAACATATTTTAAAATTATTGAGATGTTTTGTGGTGCTTCAGGATAGAATATGGGTATCCTGTGGAGATACCTATAATCTTATGTTGTTCAATTAATGAGAACTCCTTTTTCCACTATAAATAATTATATTTTAGCGGATAATGCTTAAGTTCGTAAGACGTGGATACCGTGGTGATCTGTACAAAAGATTGTATCGCCACACGACACACTTCTTAGGTAGTACGAAAGATTTCAAGAATTTTAAAATTCTGTCCTCAAGTAGGTTCCTGTATTTATAAATTCCAAAATTCATAACTTTTTGAATAAATTCAAAAGAAAAAATGGGGGTGAGCGTGCTTGGTAGTATAGTATAGTAAAATAATTATGTGAATTATTTGATTGTAATAATAATATGATTGTTTTGCACACTGCATCCTCGGTTATACATTATATACCTACTATAGAATAAATTGAATTATTATTAGTAAAACGTGATTTTTCGATCGCGTCAGGTCATACTTACCTACGTTACGGTTACATGCCGTATATTTCGATAGGGGCATGAATCGGTGCAGGATCATAAAATTTGCAAGAGTTTATATTGATAAATAAAAATACACCGATATCGTTTGCAGTCGAGAGTCGTAAACGCATAATATTATGATTGTTAGATACAATGCAATTTATTCAGTTCGTGAGTCGTCGATGTTATATTGAATGCACGTTATTATACTTGTTGAAAAAATTCGTCAGGTCACGTCTTGTTCGTCTTGAAAATCACTACTGCGCTTACGATATGGAACACTCACGGCCAAACGCCGACGGTATAGAAGCGAGCGTTTGAAATTCCATGGTGTTGTTTAAATAGTTTAAAATTTCTAATGACACCTTAAAAAAGAAATTAATGAAATAGGTATTTGATCTGTA